GATCATACAAATACAGCATCAACCTCTGATTAAAATCCTGTCCTCCAAGTTTGTTGTTACCTGAAACACCAGAATAGAAGGCATCAGACACAAAACCTTCAAACCTTCAGAAAGCAGCACACATCTTTTACCAGGAGACTGTTTTCAAGGGCAGGAACAACGACAGTAGGACTGTAAGCGTAGAGCAAGAGATCACAGAGAGGGGAAAATAGACGTAATTGTCGTCCACTGAAGAACACATGAATAGCAATTTCCAGATTTTTATTAGCAACTTTTAGAATTTTTATCCCCCTCAGTGTTTTCCCCCTGGAACTGCTCTGCTACACTGTAACAGAAAAAAGCAGTGGTGGTTAACTCAGGGGCATTCTCCATAGAAGAAAATACATAATGATAAATTTCTAGCTGGAACCCTCTAACTGAAGTGCACTCTCTCACAGCAAATTGTTTTTCCAGCTAAAATTCCCAGTTTCAAATCTCTCTGCCCAGAATGGATTTGCCTCTTAGCACTGCCACAGTACAGCTTTATAGGGATTATTGTTGTAACTGTTTCAAGTTATTCAGCCTCTCTATACACCCACACGAAAAATTACATGCTGCTGAAGTATATGCAGATAACCTGCCAAAAGTGGAAGAAAATGATAAAGTGCAAGCAGTGAACTTCAAGCTATATTAACAGGTATATCTTATATTAGCCTTCAGAGAGAGAAGGAAAAAAAAAAGTATTATATATAAAACTTATTTCTTCTGAAAGATTGTTCTTGCACCATTTTTCCAAAACCTTCCAAACAATTGTTCCTGCTTTCCATTCGACAGAGTCAAAAAATGGCCTGCAGATTTTCATCTGTGTTGAACAAAACTCTCGAAGTTTCCACCATTTCATTTTGACTGAAAACAGGAATCCACTTAGCAGACCTCCATCTAGATAAATCAGAATGAAGCTGCCGAATATTTCTTGCGGTTCCACTCTTACCAGACTGCGCAGCAACTCACATCAGAACTTGTTCATTCAAGGCAGGGCAGGCAGTTAGCACTGCCTCTCCGGCCCGTCTGAATCCAGGTCATCTGAGAAGCAGCTGTGTATTCCCTACAGTTTTACTACACGTGGCTGCCAGAACTCTTCGCCAAGCGATGAATCACTTCGGCATATGCACATCACAAAACTTACTTCTGGGTTAACAGCATGCCCATTCCCAAACCCTGCCCAACTGAGCTAGAGCCAAACACAAGGTGAAGATACTCTAAAGCACTGGGCAATGATTTGGCAAGTATTTCCAGCTTGGATAAAGGTCATGCAAAGATTCATAAAACCCCCAGCCCCCAAAAGTCCAGTCAAAGCAACCGTAAAATGCACCAGCACTTCTACAAGCAGGCACAAAAGTTAAAAGCCACGGATAAAACGAAACCACAACTTATTCCTTTGAGTCAGCCCAAACCTGTCAATTTATCTTAACTGTTGAAACCCGTCACAAACTTCATTTTGCACGGAAGGCGGCTAAGAGCACTTTCAGAGAGCGCTTCGTGACAAGGCTGGTATGTTTGAAAAAGCCCCTCTAACAGTGACTTGAGGCGCACCTTTCCTTCCCCCTCACTCCTTGAAAAAGGAAAGCGTTTGTCTCACCTGCCATGGCTCGTGTGAGGAACATCCCTCCCTGCTTGTTCAACAGTGACACATCCAAAGTTCCTCCACCCAAATCCACCACCAGAACATTAAACACATCAGCTTTGTGGAGTCCGTAAGCCATAGCTGCAGCTGTGGGTTCATTGATTACTCGCAAAATTTCTAGCCCTACAAAGAGAAAAGATACCAAGCAAGAGTCAAGTAATGCTTCAGAAAACTGCAATTCTCACACCATAATGACATTTACCATTAGGTTCTTTCGGGTTTTTTTTAACCAAACTCACCTTAAAGTAAAATGTTGGATCTAAAGGAAATATTTTCCTAAGCACTAATACTCAATGAACTCTTTTCTTTATTTAAGCCTAAAGTAATACTACTTCAGCGTTGGGGTGAAGTCATGAACCATGATTTGCCCAAACACGTTTCTTCCAGAGAAACCTTGCTAAGGATATTTATTTCACATGTGCCATTTCTGTCCAAGGGTGCTCTGTATAGTCTCTCTATTTGGAGATTACCAAAAAGACTATTTTCCCCAAAGTACTTCTAGCTATCTATGTCTGAATTAGTCAGCTGCACCTGTTGGTACCCAAAAGTTCTCTGCTCTTCCTCACAATTTGTAATGGTCTGTAATAAAAAAAAAAAAACAAAAACCCACACCATTCTAAGGTTCTCTACCACTGATTCGCTGTTTCTATGTCCTCCCCAAAGACTTCACTGTCAGTGAAATAGACCTAAAGATAATTTTAAGGCTTCATAGAAAAACGCCGGAATAGAGATATCACCTGCAAGGTTAGCTGCCTTAACAGTAGAATTCCGTTGCCTTTCATCAAACTCTGCTGGCACAGAGATGACCGCCTTCGAAATGGGCATGCCAAGACTGTCTTCTGCCATTCTCTTCAATTTCAGCAGCAGCTGAGAGCCAATATGCTCTGGAGTGATGCGAAAAGTTTCATTAGTTGTCACAGAAAATTCAGCCGATCCATTGTTGTTGAAAATCTTGGAGGAGAAAGCAACACAACCCACAGGTGAGAAGTCTTTTTTTTCATGCTCTCCCACCCTGCTCCCACCAAATGTCTTATCCACATAAAGCCTGTTTATCCTGAAAAAATACGAATGTGCTTTTGCCACTTCCTGAATCACTTTTATTCCTTGACTATCAGTATTATCCAAGACATGCAACTTAAGGGGCTGGAGCGTATCTGAAGTAGTGACACCCACCATGTCCAGGTAAGGCACATTAAAAAAAAAAAGTTAAGACCTAGCAAATGCATAATCGACTTCAACACCACATTCAAAGATGAGCACAATGCTTTTTAATCATTAGGTTTACCCTACTGATAAAGCTTCCCACAGGTTCTTCTTTCTGAAAGGAAGCAGAGAGGCTGGTACTGAAACAGCTTGTCTTTACAAGTAAAGAATTCAAAGACTGTTTGCATTACCTGAAAATTTGTCTCTTTTCAGCAAATACTGCACCACGCTAAATTAATGCAAGACTTTTTTTTTTTTAATAAAGCAGCTTTCAGGATCTGCTGCTGGTCAAGTAAGCACTGAACAAAACTCTCAAAGTTTCCACCATTTCATTTTGACTGAAAACAGGGAAAAAAACTCAGTAGGACAGAGAAGATGTTACTTTGACACTTGACTTTTTTTTTTTTTAATCTCAAGGAAAAAACATGAATTGTCAGCAAAGCACAGTTAGAATTTCAAGTTGAAATTTACACTTGAAGAGAAGGGGCTGGATGGTTACCCAGAAACACATTTCACAGTAGAGGACAGAGTGCCCTGGAAAATCACCACCATCTCTCATGCAGAGGTATGTGACTTCCACAACCGTTTCCTCCTCCCCTCTCTGGATACCTCTTACGGTTTTCAGGCATATGAGATTTAGCCAAATGACTCAAGGTCAGACAAGCAGGTCACCTACTACGTGTTTCAAGCGTCCTATAGCTTACCACTTAGAGGCAACTGAAGAAGATGGTTACTTACCTTGAAAGGATACCTGCTACTTTCACTTTTTAGCTCTTCTGAAGTGAAGATTTTCCCAATGAATCTTTTTGCGTCATATATGGTGTTCTGCGGATTTGAATCAGCCAGTTCTAGGCCATCATATCCTACATATATATCTCTGTCTGTGAAAGAGACTATACTGGGTATGCTGTTGTGCCCATTTTCATCTGCAATAACCTTCACCTGCCCTGTTCCAGGAAGAAAGACACCCACAGAGCAGTAAGTTGTGCCAAGGTCAATCCCAATGACTTTTGGTGTAGGCATTGGTAAATATTGCTGTGCTAGATAGCCAGCTAACAAGAGGGCCAGAATAGCTGAACCTGAAACACAGATTTTTAAAAAACAGGGTTAGGATATCTACTACTGCAAACGTAGAAGGCAACGCAAATTACACAGCATTATACATTACACCTCATGCAGTTTTATTTCACGCTCTGAAGCCTGTTCAGCTACCTCATTAGTTTTCAATTGCTTCAAAAGTCACCAGCAAAGTCTCTTAAATCAACAAAAAGTGGTTAGAAGAATCAGAAATCTTAGGCGTTAAGTACTAAACTGGTACAAAAAAAGCTCAGGAGGTACAGCAAAGCAAAAAATACCACCACCCTGTAATAACTTTTTCTCTCTCTGCAAGGTATTTCAAAAATATAGGTTAATTAGTATTTTGGGGGAAATTGCCTATGAACCCTAAGGGACATCTAGTTAATGAGGCTGCACAAAATCACAGTGAAATGAAAAACTCCTGATTCAAACGTCTCCTCCAGCTTCACCGGAAGTCTGAAAACAAGGAGATGCAAACCCATGCTAACTCCTCCTGTATCAGTCATAGCTTCCAAAGAGCATCTTCCCACAGCTCTGAATCTCTTCTGTGCCTTGAAATCAAGGAGTAGACTAGTGAGAGGGGCAGAGTAGGCTTTATTTTGTTTTGGTTTTATTTTACATCTAATCAACTGACGAAGCAAGAAACCCCAAAACGTACTATAAGAGAGTGCCTCAGAGGAGAGGAAAAAAAAAAAGCACCAGCGAACAAACAAAATCTGAAGAAGGACTCTAAACAGCTTAAATCACAAAGAGCGGATAAGCCCATTTCCCCAGCAGGGAAGGGTGGTCACAGCTGTGCTTCGGACAGACTAGTGAGCACAGGCAGTTTTGGTGAGCACGAGCAGGTTTGCTTTCGGCCGTGACTCCCCCAAGGCATTTCGCAGCAACGCGCCACGGCGCGCTTCGGCTCCGCCAACAGAGGAACACACCGA